CAATTTCATGAGTCCCAGCTAAGAGTAGACAACAACTTGCCACAATGGCATTCAATCATAGATTCCTGATGATAGAGGTTGGACAAGTTTATATGGCTAAGACTAGACTGTGCAAATATTCCAGCACTTTGGACTTCAACCTGCTGCCATTCTCCAACTCTACAAAAATACCTACATACTTGCTCCCATGGGCAAGTTCACACAGGCACACCTACTGTCTTCCATGTTATCAATGCACCGTTTTCAGACTGTCCAAATACATTCACTTCTAAGACTGCAGATACATTCACTTCTAAGATTGCAGAGAAGTAGTTAACCAGGGGGCACAGTGAATGAGTCCTTTTACTTCCTTGGGTTTGTAGATGGGTAGTAGTATGTTAGTATGTCTGTCTGTCTGCGTGTCTGCCTATTTGTTCATTTAGCACACTGGGGCTGGAACTCAGGGCCTTCTACATGCTAGGCAAGCTCTCTATTACTAAGCTCCATTCCCAGTCCCATAGTCGGAATTTCTTTTTTTTTGTATTTTTAATACATTTTTTTATTGTAAAAGATACTGTACAGAGGGGTTACAGTTACATGAAAAAGGTAATGAGTACATTTCTTATCAAGCATTGTTACCTCCTCCTTTGTTTGTCCCCTACCATCCCTTCCCTCCCACCTCTACAACTACACTACCCTCCCCCCACACCCCCCACTCCCGCCTAAATTGTAAAGTTTGTTTTTCAACATAGTGTCTTGTACATCTCATTGTTACCATGGGTCAAACTGTATCCTTATTTAAACATTTTGTTTTTTCCCTTCCACTCCCCAAATTAGAGAAGGGTATTTACAAAATGCAGGGCACCGACATCAAATACAGTGAAAACAGATGTTATACCGTGGGGGAGGAACATACAAAGCAACAAAAAAAATCACATAGTACATTAAGAAAGAAAATAGATATTTGTGTCCATATCTTGGGGTTCATTTTGCTTAGCATTATCTTATATGGTCATATGTACATAGCTTTAGACCTTCTCTGCTTGTCCCAGACATATACTAGTTATTGCAAATAAGGGAAACCATGGGGTCTATGTTTCTTTGGGCCTGGCTTACTTCACTTAATATAATTTTTTCCAAGTCTTTCCATTTCCTAACAAATGGGGCAATGTCATTCTTTCTGATGGAGGCATAGAATTCCTGGGTTGGTTCCATATCTTAGCTATGGTAAATAATGCTGCAATAAACATAGTTGTGCTGGTAGCTTTAGTATGGCCTTGTTTATGATCATTTGGGTAAATGCCCAAAAGTGGGATTGCTGGGTCATAGGGCAGCTCTATGTGGAGTCTTTTGAGAACCTCCATACTACTTTCCAAAGTGGTTGAACAAGTTTACACTCCCACCAACAATGCAGTAAGGATCCCTTCTGTCCACATTCCCCACCCCCTCCAGCATCTGTTGTTATTAGAGTTCTTGATTACAGCCATTCTAACTGGGGTGAGGTGAATTTCTTAAGGTCTAATTAAACAAATGTGCTGGGTGATTTATTTTATTAAATGAATATAACAAGCAAATATAACAAGCAAATTCTGCTAAACCACCATATTTTTGTGGCATCCTCCTGATGTGGATTTTATATACTAGAGAATATCAAGTAACTGAAGACAAGCCAGCTTCCTTGGCTGAGAGGAATCTGCTATAGCTACAATCACCACAACCAATATTTTTTGCTTCATGTGGTGGACAACCTCAAAAGAACCCACCCACACTGTGCCTCGTCATTTAAGAAACTCCATCCTCCTTCTATTTCAAAAATGCTGAATTTCATGTTCAAAAAAGTTTTTGACACTGTACTTAGAATTGAGGGAGAAGAGAAGGGAGGGGAAAGGAGGGAAGAGGAGGGACAAGGGGAGAAAATGGGGAGAGGGGAGGGAGAGAAGAGAGGAGAAGAGAGGCGAGGAGAAAAATATTTAGAAGGATGTCTGTATAGTACTAAAGTAACCCGGAATAAAAACGTTTCCTCAAGTTTGTCTTTTTGACAAGTAGGAAGACTATGACCACTAGTTTCCATAGAAAAACGAGTCTTAGTATGCAAAAAACATTTTATAGGTTCTTCTTTCACTTGTGTTCTGAAAAGATTATTTATTCCTTCTTTTCTTTCTTTGAGACAATTTTGCTCTGTAGCCCAGGCTGGCTTCGAACTCTTGATCCTCTTCTTCAGTCTTCTGAATTCTGGGACCACAGCAAACTGAGATTATAGGACTGAACTACTTCACTTGCCCTTGTTCCTCTTTAGACAGAAATTATAGCTAGGCTCCAGTGGCTTATAACTTTAATCCTAGCTACTCAGGAGGGTGATATCTGAGGATGATGTATCAAAGTAAGTTTGGGGAGGAAAGGCCAAGAGACTCTTATCTCTAGTTAACCACCAATAAGCTGGATGTAGAGCTATGTTAAGTGGTAGAGTTCCATCCATGAATGAAAAAGCTAAGGAATGGCACCATACCCTGAGTTCAAGCATGAGTACCCACATCAAAAACCAAAAAAGAAATGTTATGCAGGATGCTAGCAAATAAATTAAAATAAAAACATTATGAAGTAGAGGAAAAAGAACAGTTAGATTGTCTGCTATCCCACAAAGGAAATACTGGAAACAATTGTTGAGAAAATGAAAATAATTATATGAGATGGAATCTTAAAACTAAGCAGGTGCAGAAAGTGAGTGAAAGGAGAACTTTAAACCTTAATACTCAATTTATTGCTAGGGAATTTCAAAGCACTATTAATTGACTGAACAAAACCTGTAATTAGTGGTAATTACAGAGATTTTCTCCACACACTATGATTTTGCTGCATTTCTAAGGAGATAATCAAGGCTATTATTGTGAATAGATGGGAGAAATCATATAATGGTTTCCATATTTTGTCACAATTGAAGGGAAGCAGAATAGTCCTCCTTTCCCCTCCCCTTGAAGGCAATAGCCATCAGTGACAGGAAAATAAGTTATAAAGCTTCTCTAAAAAATTCAAGGCCCCCTGAATGAAAAAATAAATTCCACAACACCTTTGACAGTTGCCTGAGGGCTCTGTAACTAATGGCAACTGCCAACTACAAAGATTCTTATGGAAAATCAAAAGCTTCAGCAGAGCCTTTTAATGAATTTCTAAAAGACAAACTATACACAAGCCTTTGTTATGCTGTTTTATATATATATATACATATATATATATATAGAGAGAGAGAGAGAGAGAAATTTTATGTGCTACAGTATGATGGCCAAAAGCTTTAATAATAAATTCCACTATGAAAATCGTCATAACAAAGACCCTTTGGATATATGGTTGACAATGACAGTACATCAAAGACTGTGTCAAGTTCCTTGGAATATAATCAATTAAATATTTATTGAAAACTTAACATATGTGTAATACTGTGCTAGACATTGAGAGAATACAAAAGAGTAATATTCAGAACAGGCAGAAATTTTGGGCTCCAGAATTATTTACAACATATATGTTAATAAGAGTCTGGTAGAAAATTCAGAAACTCACAGTGCAGAAGATGTTTGCTGTCCTAAACTCTGCTTAACAACTCTTCCCCAGTGACCCTGTTGTGCAGTCAAACCTTTAATTAATCCCTCATTTACTACAGTTTAACCTTGTCTCCTCCATGGAGCAAACTGGTCAACTCTCTCTTCCTATTATTTAGGGTTTTTTTTTCCTGGAGTGATGAAGCTCTTTTGATGATAAAAGTGTACCACATGCCATCAGATAAATGCATGTCTGGATTAGCTTTATTTTATTTTTTTGCATATGTGTATTGGTGCTGGGGACTAGGGGCTGTCCTTTAGCTTTTTCACTGAAGGCTAGCACTTGAGCCACAACTCTACTTCCAGCTTTTTGGTGTTCAATTGGAAATAAGAATTAAAATAATAAAATAAGAATTAAAACAGACTTTCCTACTCCAGCTGGCTTCTGAGTAGTTAGGATTACAAGCAAGGCACCAGGCTCAGTTAGGTTTAATTTTTAAGAAACACTGTACATAAACATTTAAGAAGCATTGCACACAAACACTTCTAAGATAGTGCACCCAAGGACAAAGCCTATATTCAACAACTTCAGTTGAAGAAACTAAACATTGCAAATTAAACAATTACAACATTCATACTACAATATAGTTCTATTCCTAAAGAAACAAATTAAACTACCCCTAACACCAAAAGGGAAATATAAAACAAGGTCACAGGAAATACATTCCTAAAACAATCATGATCAGAGTAAAAGAGAAAAAAGAAAAGAAACAAACAGAAAAAAACCCCTCCACTGCCAGGTACCAGTGGCTCATGTTTCTAATCCTAGGTACTCAGGAGATAGTGGTTCAAAGGCCAAGCCTAAGCAGAAAAGTCTGAGACCCCATTTCTAAAATAATCACCAAACCCCTAGACTGAAGGCATGGGTTCAAGTGGTAGAGCACCAGATGAGCAATCAAGTTGAGTCAGTGTACCTTCTATCCTATCTATCTTTGTGGGGATAAACAACTGTTTTGTTTGCTGTTTGAGACAGTCTCCATTTACAGCTCAAGCTGGCCTCCAAACTGTAATCCTCCAAACTCAGAGTCTCCAATGCTGAGCTTACAAATATAACAGGTATGTTCCACTACACCTGGCCTACATCATACATTTATTTTAGTGCTGGTCCTGGGGCTTGAGCTTAGAGTCTGGACACTGTTCCTAACCTGGTATTCTAGCCACTTGAGCCACAGCATTACTTCTGGCTTTTTGGTATTGGAGATAGGAGTCTCACAGATTTTCTGACCATGCTAGATTTGAACTTCAATCTTCTGATCTCAGCCTCTTGAATAGCTAGGATTACAGGCATGAGCCACCAGTGCTGGGTATCCCATCTATCTTTACTATTTTGTCTTAAGGCTTAGGAACAATCATTCATGCACATTTTACAGAATAACTTTGACAGAAAATAAGGATAGCCTTCCTATAGTTAATAGTACAAAACATACTCACCAACTTTTGCAAAGGCCTCCTTGAGTTCATCAAGCTCATCTTTGGAAATCTGAGTGGTAGCCATTTGATCCATTTAAAGATCTAAAGAGAAATCAAAAAGGTTTATTTAGACTTTTAAAAAAATTGTCATGAATATTAATACTCTTCTAAAAGTCTCATATAGGAAAAAAATCAGAATAGGTATTATATCTGTTGTAGATCCATTATAAAAAAAATGGGACCTTATTTACCAAAACTTATTTAGAAAACAATATTTCTGAATCTTCCCTTTAAGAATAATCTCCTAAAGCACAGGAGTGGAAGGGTCAACATATCCAGCAATGACAGGAACTAGACACATTGGTTTTATATTCCAAAGTTTAAAGTCCAAAATTACATGACCAGAAATTTGTGTTAAATATTTTCCCATTAAGCCAATCTAGTCCTAGCTATTCACAGAAAATAGTGACTTTCAAATATCACACTGACATGTGTGATTTGAGCCCTGAACTTGATCCTCTCCCCGGATTTGAGCCCTAGGACTTGTGTCCTTCTTACTATAGAACTTCTCACAATGCCTAGAACTGTGAAGCACTCAATTAAACTATACTTTAACCAAATTCATTCACTGACATTTTTGCGCCAACTAATGCATTAGATAATTTCCTATATAAGTTAATTCCCTAAACCCTCAATGGTCCTATGAAGGATATTCTTATCCCTTTTATTTCTTAGTAGATGATTGACTAGCTCATCAGGATAATGGAACTGGAATTCAAATTTCAGGTTTCTCAATCCTAGACAAGTTAAAAATGGCCATGATACTATAAACTAAGTTTTCCCCCACAGAATGAATCACATATAAATGGCTGGAATTTTTATTTTTTTAAATACAGGTGCTGGGACTTGAACTCAAGGCCTGCCACTCTTACTTGGCTTTTTTTGCTCAAGGCTGGTATTTACCACTTGTGCCATGCCACTATTATAGTGGCATCTCAGCCTTCTGAGTAACTAGGATGACAGATGTGAGCCACCAGTGCCCTGGCTTGTTATTATTTTTTAGAGACAGAACCTTTTGTGTTTTGGTAGCAACAGGACTAAATTTTCAGGCCACAGTGTGAGATCTGCTTCCCTCAAACTTTGTTATGGTATCACCAGACAACAACAAAACTGATAAATTGCTCATAAACTTTTCTTACCTATGATCTCAGAATGTCTCTAGAGACAGACCACTTGTCTGTAGGAAGGCTGGGTACAAACACCTTGGAGTCTCAGTTCTATTGGGTAAAAAAAAATCTTCAGTTAAATATAAAGTTGGCCTTTTAAAAGATTAAGTATAAAAACAATTTTCCAGAAATGAAACTGTAATCTCAAAGTATTTCATAGTTTACTGAGATGATGTTCTATACTTCCAATTACTAAAATACTTGACAGGATTTATTCCAATTTTCTTCATACATATTTTAAGCAATCACATTTTTAGTACAAAATTCTTACTCATCTGCATGCACTACACCATGTACAAAATGGCATGAAAAGTTTGCAAGTGTAAAAACGTACAATGTGCTTTGTTTTCCATCTCTAAAGATACTTTACAGGAGCTGGGAAGGTGGCTCAGTGGTAGAGTGCTTGCCTTGCATGCATGAGGCCCTGGGTTTGAGTCTTCAGCACCACATAAATAGAAAAAAAAAAGCCAAAGTGGCGCTGTGGCTCAAGTGGTAGAGTGGTAGACTTGAGCTGAGGAGCTCAGGGACAGCTCCCAGGTCCAGAGTTCAGGCCCCACAACTGACACACACACACACACACACACA